AGGAGGGCTCATGCGTGTGTGTGCTACAGTCCTTACGCTCAGCTGGGATTGCTTTCTGAAGGGACACGGTGCCCCTGCGTGGCTACAGGACAAGCCTTTCACAACTGATGATTATCTAAGACATGTGGCATCATCCCCCCGTGTGCTGGATGAGAGCTGGGCTCTGAGAGCGGGCTGTGGTTTGGTTTTGTCCTTCCCCTGACAGAACACAGGAGATAGAGCTGGGCACGGCAGGAAAAATGCTGTGGTCCAGACCTCTGGGGATTTACCCGGTAACGGCCGCCCCAACGGGTCCGGGCTCCCCCAGGCAGCCACATCCAGCTGTATCACACATGGCTTTTCCCTTCCTGTAGAAGATACTACAAGAGTTTACTGGGCTGTTGTAGAGTCACTGCTGACACTCCCTAAGCCTAGAGCTCTGAATCCTTACCCTATGGACACTGAATATTAAATGGTTTTATTGCTAAGTATGCATTGAGCTGTGCGGTCATTGGTGAAAGAAAGGAAGAAGCTAAGGTAAGAGCTAAGCTCAGATGCAGGTAACCTTCCATCCAAGAACTGGGAAGGAGTGCTTGAGTGGAGACATTTTCACATAAGCATCTAGAGTTAGACGAGATGGATCCTGCTTGTGACAGCCTTGATTAAAAACTCGGTATTTGCCAGGACACGACGTTGGAGCTGACCCTTGAGCGCCTCTGTAGGAGCAGAAAATAACCCAGCGGTGACTCAGCTGCGCCTGTTGTCAGATGGGGATCTGCTTTTTCAGTCAAATACAAAAGGAGGCTGGGGTATCCCACGCACACATGGCCCTTCCTTCACAGAGGAGATGTGGACAGAGGCCAGGATCGGCAGGACAGAGGAGCAGCTGGGAAGACGTCGCTGTCCCCAGGCTCCCTCTGCTGAAGTCCCCACATCCCTGCCTGCAGACCTCCCTACACCAGGACCCCGAGCACCACAGCTTGTCAGCAGCGAGGACAGGAGCTCAGCAGAGCCTGAGCACCTCAGCGAGCTGGATGCTGCCTGCAAGAAAAGACTGCCAAGATGCCACTTTTGAGGCAAGAAAAAAACCCCAACAGACGTTTAACCATCTTATTACCATTAACCTCACCAGATGTGAATGTACATCTGTGTAAGCTTTGCCACAGGTATCCAGCTCTGACCACAGCCTGCAGCCCCAGCTACGCTTCTTCTTCCAAGAAAGCATCCAGCAGAGCCCTTGGCCCAGGCAGTACCGTCCTGGGCGAAGGTTCCCGCAGTGGCAGAGTGCCCAGGGAGGGGTCCCACTCCACGCACTGCACGTAGGCTCTGCCACCGGCCTGTTCCCGTGGGGTAACTCGTACAACAGCAGCCCTTTCTCCATGCAGCATCTCTGGCATTGAACATGCTGCTGCCACACGCCATCAGAAACAGCAAACGAAGGTGCGAGAAACTGTATTTACTCCCTCCCTATTTTCAATATTCCTGTGCGAAGGTATCCGACGTCAGTTTGGCCTCACAGAGCGTCAGCCTCAGTCCAATCGCCTCCTCTCGCCGTATTTGGGAAATGCCATTTCTTGTGCATTTTGCTTTTAGCAGCTGGGCTTCACCTCCCTGAGCCTGATAAACTGAGTGACTCAGAAACCTGCAATCTGCTTCAAAACAAAGCATTTAAGATAAGAGATATAGGCAGTAATGGAGCTGCTCAGCTCAGAAGTATAAATGCTGGGGGGGGGTTATTCGTGTAACCAAAAACCTGGTAACCCTTCTTCAGCTCTTTTTAACCCCTGCAAGCCCTGGGCAAAGCAAGCTGCAGATAAGAGCTGCTGTGTCATTTCAAATACTCTTCCACTCCAGTGTGCAAACCCTGGAGTCGGGAAGTGGAAGGAGCTCTGGTGCCAGCACTGTGCAGGGAAGGTGATGCGGGAGGGGGAGAGCCGAGCACCCGCTCCACTGCCTCCAAAGTGCTCTTGTTTCTGCTGGTAAAACAACTGCCAGGTTCTGAGGGGATTATATGTGGTCAGGTCTCTTGGTTGCGACAGCTCACTATCTCCGGCAACAGTTTGGCCTTGAGGTTTGCAGTTCAAAGGGCATACCAGCAGTGCTGTCACCCAGCGCCACCTGTAGCAACTTGACCCCCACTTGGGGACAAATTTCCCTGTTCCCAAGGAGGTGGTACCTCCAATGCATCCCATCCTCCAGCAGCTCAGACTCATACCCAGCGGATCCTTCCAAGCAGGACAGGCAGGGATCACCAGCACTCTCCAGTAAAGCCTCGGAGATACCTCCATCAGGAACCGAGGAGAACAAGCAGCGGCTAAAAATCAGCTGAGCATCCAAGCAGCAGCCTGCCTGAGCTTCCCGTTCCCACAGCGGGGTGTTCATGTGGCAGCCGTGCCGCGGGACCCTCCTCGGCTGAGCTTCCTAGGGTGCACGCACCCAGTGGGGACAACTCAGCTGCCACCAAGTCCAGGGGAAAAAGTATATCTGCTTTAGCAGGAGGTGAGAGAAATTCCAGGGGAGAGACGCCAGAGGAGTAAACAGTTTTGGAATGCAGCCTCCAGGCCAGCACTGAAAATGTTGTATACCTTCGTATGAATTGATGGCTGACCCTCAGCGAGACTACCAGGAACAGACGAAACAAAGACCCAGGCAACTGAAAGAATTTGAGTCGTTGAGAAGCACATGGAGGGGATGATGGAAAGGACTAGAGGTGAGGAAGAAGAGGGAGTTAATAGAAAAGGCAGCTGGGCTGGATGTATTAGTGTGGAAGTGACCTCGAGGCACCGGATTCACAGAGCTCGGCTCACCTGAGGCCAGGACAGGCTGAGTGTTGGGGTACTGAGTATTCTCCTGTCACAGCACCAGTTAAGCAGTGGGAAGCAGTGCCCTCACCCAGACTGGTGCTCGAGACCTCCCGGCTGAGGTTCCTGTGAGCATAACCCAATCAGGTGAGGAGCGGGTGGATGGGATGGACCCTGCTCAACTCCCCTCCCTCGACCATCACCTCGAGAGGCTGGCACACTGCACCAGCTCCCCCAAACTCCTGCACCAGCTGCACCAGCTGCACCAGCTGCCCCCAAACTGGGGCAGAGCCAGGGACGTGAGGCCACATCCCCTCCGTGGACAAGGATGTGAAGCGGGAGTCTCGGGGCCAGGTTGTACACAGGATCAAATCAAACCTGGAGCCGCCAAGGGGGACGCTGTGTGGAAGAGCCGTAGGCTGCATGGGCCAGTAATGAGAGGGAGAACCTGCTTGAAGTCCCAGCACATGGCCTGGGGTTTAAAGGATGTCACGAGCAAATCATCGCAGGTTGAAGGCAGTAATTACAGTAACAAACTCCTCCATTACCGTGCTGCTGCGATGCCGAGTCCTTTCGGCCGGTTTGTGGTAGATTTCTTCATTTGCTGCAGTCCCGGCGGTCAAGGAGGACCTCAAAGGCAAGAATAATTAATAGGGAATGTTAAACTGAAGAGAGCTGAATCATAGAAAAATAGAGAAAATGAAGGAAGTGAGAAAGGTCTTCAGGGTGCTGCCAAGAGCTACAAGAGGAAAAGAAAATCCTTCCCTCTCCTACACCTCCTCGTTCTACCATCACCTTGAAGTATTTTGTTGCTGAGGACAGAGGAGAGCCTGGGTCTCTGAACAGCAGCACTGCAGAGCCACTTGGTCTGCGGGGACGTGTGAAGAAATGCAGCTGTCTCTTAAATAACAGGAGTTGACACCAGTTGTGAATAGATGAGTGATCGTGGCTTCAGCTGTCACAGCAGAGGATCTGACTTTAAGTGAAGCCCCATTCATCCACCCAGGGCCCATCATAAGGCTATTAAGGAAGCATCTGTCACAAAACCACAATGGCTTTAAATGCTTGGGAAACAGCACAACAAAAATAAGTCTGCTTTGCTTATACATTTTTCTCTGGGTGACGTGATTCTTGCAATTCTCTAGCAAAAAATGAATGATTAATACGACGGGTAGCCGAAATCCGTGACGCGAGCAGAGCAAGGTTTGTTTTTCACCTCGGCTTTACTGTGTGATGCAGCTCTGCGCTTATCATTCACGTTAAATTGTAATCCAGATTCCTCTCTTCTTTATAAATTATGTTTAGTTGGGCTGAATTGTTTTGAAAAATCACCTTGACTGAGGATGGAAGAACAGATTGTGGTCATATGCGCACAGCTGCTGGGTGCCTCTGCTAAAACATCTCGCACCGAAAGACACAACTTCCTACCCAAAGTTTCAGCCTGTGGAGACATTGCCTCTGGTCATAGATTTTAAGCCTGGAGCAGAATAAGGGTACACGTGTTAACCATCTAGTGTTTTAGAAAGCTCTATCCCCCCAAACCCCTGATTTACACTCCCAGATTGTCACCATTTAAGTGGGCCCCTGGAATCTGTCCAAGTGCTGCGTCTCCTGCAGTCCCAGCCCCGTGCCAGGTTTCAAACTAAAGCAGGACTCGCTCGGGTGCCTTCATCTTCCTCTGTTGCAGTTGACTGAAATCAAGGCATTCCGTCGGAGCAAGCCACCCCTTGCCAGCAGGGAGAGCCATCTCCCAGAGGTGACTCGACCTGTCTGTTCTGGGAGAGAGACCTGTGTGCTCCAACCTCGTGTCTGAACAAACCCTTGCAGAAAAGCTTGTGTGCATACAGAATCCAGCACGAGGGACCAACTGGGACCTTTGTCCCTCAGGGAATAAAAATAGCAAGTAATATCGAAACTGTGTATTTTCACGGGTTGTAATCAGGGCTCACAACACACACACACACACACTTAATTTCCTGCTTTCAGTTCACTATCAGATTTTATGCTTAGGTTGATGGGGTTTGTTAATGTTTCTTTTTTTCCCAGAATAGGTTCGTGGTGGTTTTGAGTTTTTTCTTCCTTTAAATACAATACATTCAGCCATGAAAAATGAGATTGGAAAAGATTAATAGGAAGCTGAAGGATTCATCTGAGATTGACAAAGATTAATGTGTGTCGTCTTCTTATCTGTTTTCTTTGTCCTTTCCCTTCTTTTCTTAGCTACCTAGACAGCTTAGATCGAATCGGAGCTGCAGACTACCAGCCCACGGAGCAGGATATCCTCCGAACCAGGGTTAAAACAACTGGCATCGTAGAAACCCACTTCACATTCAAAAACCTCCACTTCAGGTGAGTCTACAACTGCACATACCAGTAACTTTCCAGGGCACCTATTTATCACAGGGTTTCCCCATACCTCCCTAAGAAGAAATTGTTAAATTGCTGGTTAAATTGTTAAATGGGTTCCACTGCAAAGGAGACAGTGTTTTGGGAGGTCAGCAACACGCAATGTTTGACGATCCTGTCTTGAAAATCACTGCCTTTAAGATAGGAGCTCACAGTACCTTCTTCTAACCCAAATGACACCACTTGCTTGGGAGGTGTAATACAAGAACAGCCCCAGTTCTGATCAAGCTCATAAATGTAAGTTGGCCAAATCTTTTCTCTGAAGTGGGTCAGCCACGTGTGGTTAACGCTCTGTATTGACCCTCATGACACCAGCCAGTTGAGGGAAGAGGGCATGAAGACAGAAAGCCACACACACTGTTTAGAGCATGTAAAACTCAAGAGCACGTGGTCTCCACCTCTGCAGACCCTTTGGGACCCAGCACGCTGCTGGGGCTCTCCCACACATCCCCACATCGCTAGCTGTAACTGCTCCTCCTGGTCCTCCTCAGCTCCAGGCTGCAGAGGAGAAAACCAAGTCAGTGGTGAAAGTCGTCTTGCTCTGTGCTTGGAGTCTTCTGGGAACCATATGGTCAAAGAATGCCAAGACTGCTAAAGGTTCCTCTTAACGAAGAAAGGGCGGGTGCTGACAGTCTTCTCCTGTGCCGTAGGCTCTTCGATGTCGGGGGCCAGCGGTCAGAACGCAAGAAGTGGATTCACTGCTTTGAGGACGTCACAGCGATCATCTTCTGCGTCGCGCTGAGTGGCTACGACCAGGTGCTCCATGAAGACGAAACCACGGTGAGTCTAACCGGGTCTTGGAGGCCCCAGCACTTCTTTACGGGAGACTACGTGGCCAGCAACTGCTCAGAGATCGCCGCGTGCTCACTGGGGTGCTGCAGTAATGTGCTTTTGTCAGTCAATCCCCCTTGACAGTGAAATCCTGGGGAGACTTGTCCTCCTCCACACTCTTCGAAATCAAGTCTTCATGCCCAGGTAATGCTGCCTTGTACCGGTGAAGTGACGGTGTTTGATTTCTCCTTTCTAGCTGACCTGTGTGTTTTCACAAAGTGTTATCGAAAGAGGAGATATAGCTAGGTGGGCTCTTAAATGTTAAGGAAGTAGTCACGTCGTGGTGCAGAGGTGCAGGATGGCTGTGCCTTCTCGAGGCAGGCTCAGGCTAGGAGTCTAATAACCTATTTCTTCAGGCTACAGAAATTCATTTTCCTGAGTGAGCCTTGAACTGTTTGATTCCTCAGGTAATTTGCTCTAGGAGTGCTTTTATGACTTCCCACTGTGACATTAGGCTCAAAATACCATCTGGAAATAAGGCTAGCGAGGACCTGTGTGCTCCCTGGTATTAGAGTGCAATTAATACAAGCGAATTAAATCCACAGAAAGGGTGTGAGAAGACTCGTTACTGTATTCTGGACGTTCACTTGGTGTGATGGGGATGCATGCGCTGGGGGCTGCGGCGGACACCCGGCTGCTTCTGGGTAACGCGAAGGAATTGGAGGTCATCCTCAGCCCAGGCAATGATTTCCCCTGTGCCCGGGCAGCACGGAGGGCTCACTCCTGCCAGCTGTGTCTCCGTGAGGTAACACCGCTGGTGAAGATGGGAGGCTTGCAAAGGGCTGTTAATGAGGGAGGAGTCAAGAGAGAGATCGCTGTTGGGTAGCAGTTGCCTCCCCAGAAAAGGCTGGGGTGGCTGTGGTTTCCAGCCCGTTTGAGACAGAAAACTGTCTGATGAAGTCATATGTTTTTTTGGGGTCATATTGCTGCCAGAATTCAGGGTGGTATTAACATCACAGCCATGTCCTTCCAGACTGACTGAGGTGCCCTACATCCTCTCTTGTCCATTTACTTATAATCCTCAGCTGTCGCCTGGCCCTGGTATGCTCAAGGATGCTCGGTCCTGTAGGATTTACTGGGGAGGAACCAAAAACTCCTGGTGTGATTTGAAAAATCCAGCCTCTAGCTCAATGCCACAGAGCTCTGCAGCTGAGCAGAGGAAACACACCCGGGAGATAAAGAATGTGCAGGGAAAGGGCAGACCCAGAGGACAGAGAACAAAGCTGCGATCTGAGCAGAGGGCAAGGTGCTCCACAGGTATAACTTGGTCTGTGACACCCAAACCATGAGGCCAAAGGCCACCTCTAATACAGATCACCTTTGGGTACCAGTCGACAGAAGCCAGCACCTGCGATTCAAAGCCACAGAGCATGAAATGGAAGAGCTTGAATGCCAATGGCCATTTTAAATGTCAGCCTGAACTCAGTTCCTCAGAGATGGAGGTTACAGCATCTCTCCTGGGGATGCTCAGTTCTGCCAGGGACTGTCCATCACCCAGCACCACCCCGGTGACGAGCAGGGTGCCAGCTCAGCCCCTCCCCTGCAGCATCCCGCTGCAGGAACTGGGAATTTGTGCAGCTCCAACTTGCCTTCTGCATCAAGAAAGTAGGCTTGCACTGCTGTGGCACGGCGCTGACGTTTGCTTGCTATTTCAATCCCTTTTCCCAAAGCGTTTCTGAGGATGCTGAGCAACAGGAGGGCAGAGGCAGCTGCTGTTTGTTTACACCTTCGGCTTAAGCGGGGAAAGGATTCGGCCACTGCTGTGCCTGCAGGACACCCCCACCTAACCCAGATAAACAGACCTGAGCCGATGCAGATAGGAGAAAACCATCGGTGTCGGGGCTTGTCTGCCCGGCTACAGCCCTGGCACAAAGGGCAAGTGGAAAACACTGCACCCACAGGCTCGGTCCTCTCCCAGCTGAACCCCCAAGCCTTTGGTCTCCTCCCTGCTAATGCGATTCCTCTCCAAAAACGCAGCAGTGGAAGCAGCTTCTCTTCAGTCAGCTGATTCGCCGTCTGCCTGCATCCGTCACATCTGCTGGCTTTAATGACGTAAATCAGCTTTTATTGCTTCTCACTTGGAAAACAGAAAGAGGAGGCAGCTGAGAGAGTGAGCTGGATGCTGCTCCTCCATCTTCATTTTCTCTAGAGACGCTCACTATGGTCCGGGCACTTCCAGCTGTGTTAAAGCCACTGAAGGTTTGGGGGGCCTGTACAAATGTCTCTGTGAGTACACTGGCATGGAGCTGGGAGGGGGGAAGAG